TTGATGTTTTAACAGCCACAAGAATATAGTTGTTGATTTGTCAACAGCTCTATGATCTCCCCAGCTGCTGAACAGTGCCTTCTAGCAATAAGAACCAATACAGCATAAGGGTGACAAGCACGACTTCTGCAGCCACACTACCTTCTTACCAACCGTGGAAACTTGTATGAGGCTCTCCGGGCCTCAGTTTCCTGATCTCTAAAAATGTACAGAATAGTATACATTGCTTTACCTCTTGGGAGTCTGCACTAAAACACCAATTTCTTTTATCAGGACCCAATTTACAGAAAACTTTCTGTTTTTAAATTTGGGATCAAAACAATTCATAAAATCATCTAAATGTTTTATATACTTGAAATAATTTCTTCTCTGCTAATGAATTGAAACTACTTCATTTGTTAGCAATATGTTCATGAAAAGCTTCAGTTAATTCTGGTAAATGACTACTACAAAAGCATCCCTCTGAATCTCAGTGGTTAAACCAAGAGAAGTTTATTCTTGGCTCATGTAACAGTCCAATACATGGTAGCAGGGAGCTGGAGGGAGAGTGTCCCTCTACTAAACAGTCATGCAGGCACCCAAGCTGACCAAGCCTCCACCATCTTCAGAACATGCCTCCTAAGGTTGACCTTGGTAATGACATCCTCCCAGCTCTTAAGAAGGAAAGACATATAGGATGATGCAAGAGGTTTTAGGAGCCAGCCCTGTAAGGGTATACATAGCTTCCAGCTACATTTCATTTATTCCATTGGCCAGAACATAGTTTCCACTCCTAACTGCACATGGTTGAAAAATCTAGTTTTCCCTTAATGGCCAGGACAAAATGAAATAAATGTAATGAACACGTAGCATTGTTATTACAATACTGTCTTTTCAGAGCCTCTACTATCTTGCTATGATGTTATGATCTAAATCTTGATGCGACTGTGAAGAAACCTGGCTGGGGGAAATTGCTACCATCACTTTTTAAGTGGCATCTCAAAATGTAAAAAGCTCGTGTTACTCTGGCAACAAGAAGAATAAATAGTGTTTAAAATATGGTAAGTAAAATAGTCAAGGTGGAAAACAAATACAGCAAAAATCTTCAAGTGAAAACGGAAGTTTACAAACTACTAAAAGTAGTAAGATCCATTAGTTGGTACTGCAGCATTTTTGGCTGGTAAGTTTTTTCCAACATGAAAAATACTTATGGCTTTTACAAAAAAATAAAAATGAACCTGGGGCGCCTGGGTGGCTCAGTCAGTTAAGCATCTGCCTTCGGCTCAGGTCATGATCCCAGGGTCCTGGAATGGAGTCCCCCATTGGGCTCCCTGCTCAGCGGGGGGTCTGCTTCTCTCTTCCTCTCTCTCTCTCTCAAATAAATAAATAAAATCTTAAAAAAAAGAAAAAAGAAAAGAAAAGAGGGGTGCCTGGGTGGCTCAGTCGTTAAGCGTCTGCCTTCGGCTCAGGTCATGGTCCTGGGGTCCTGGGATCGAGCCCCACATCAGGCTCCCTGCTCCACGGGAGGCCTGCTTCTCCCTCTCCCACTCCCCCTGCTTGTGTTCCCTCTCTCGCTGTGTCTCTCTCTGTCAAATAAATAAATAAAATCTTAAAAAAGAAAGAAAAGAAAAGAAAGCAAGGGCAATTGAGGATAAATTAAAGCAAAAAGGAAAGGAAGGGAAGTTGGGGCCAGATCCTGCATAGCCTTGAGTGGCATATTGAGGCATTTCTGCCAGAAGGGCTCAATCAACCAATCTCTTCGGACGGAAGAAGCCGTTAATCCTCTATCAGTCAGGCAATACCTACTATATGCCAAAGACGGTTCTGAGTATTGGGGATACAGCAGAGAACAAAACCACCAAAATCTCTGTCCTTGTGGAGCTCCCATTCGAAAAGGCAGAGAAAAGTATACAATGCCAGGTAGTGCAATGAAGAAAACTAAAGCCACATAAGGAGCTGGAAGTGTTGAGGTGAGCTGCTATTTTGGGTTAAGTGGTTTTGGAAGGTATCTTAGATGAGGTGACATTTGAACAGAGATGTGAAAGCAAGCTGTGAAAATACCTAAGGGAAGAATCTATGAAGCCAAAGAAACATCAAGTCCAGAAGTCCTGGGGCAGCATCTTGCATAGACAATGACTGAACAGCAAAGAAAGCTGTGTACCTGGTGAGGAGTGAGGGAAGCGCAGATGAGGGGGAAGAAATAGCCAGGGCCGGAGTCAGGCAGAGCCTTGTAGACCACAGGAAAGACTGGGGTTTGGTCACTAAGTAGGTGCTCATTGAAGGGTTTAGGGCTGCTAAGTGACTTTTCAGATGTACTGTTTTAAAGACTCATTTTGTTTACTATGTGGGAAAATGAATGATGGTGGGAATGACGAGAGTAGAAGCAGAGGGACAGTTAGGGTACTATTGTACTATTCCAGGTGAGTTTATTTTTTAAAAGATTTATTTATTTATTTTGAGAGAGAGCGCCAGGGGAGGGGCAGAGAGAGAAAACCATTCATGCAGACTCCCCGCCAAGCCACCAAGCGAGGAGCCCGAGGTGGGCTCCATCCCACAACCCATGAGCTCATAACCTGAGCCAAAACCAAGAGCCAGATGCTTAACCGACTGAGTCACCCAGGCGCCCCTCCAGGTGAGTTTAAAAGCAACTATTAAGTACCTACTATATGATAGACAGTGTGCATGCAAGCGTGAAGATTTTAAAATGAAAAAAAAAGGTGTCCTTGTCCTCTAAGAGCAGAGAATAAATGTAATAGGACCTTAGGGCAGAGTACGATGGCAAAGAAGGCGTCATACAGAGGGGGAACAATTCTAAATCTTAAAACCTTCCCACCTTAAGAGTACAAAATTACAGGGTTGCTAAAGATTATAGAAAGGGAGGTTATGAAGAGATTTCATTGGATAGAGCTCTGCTATGTGTCCCATCTCTCCAAAAGGCAGCACTTTCTTCTTACTTCAAGCCTAGTGACATGGTTTTTATTATGGTCTGAAAGTGTGTATCCCTATAAAATTCATATGTTGAAGCCCTAACCCCCAACATGATGTTATGTATTAGGAGCTGTTATATGGTATTAGAGGGTGGGACCTTTGAGAGGTAATTAGGTTTAGATGAAGTCATGATGGTGGAGCCCCCTGATGGATTAGTGCCTTTATAAGAAGAGAAGGAGACACCAGATTCCCCTTCTCCCTCCCTCTTTCTCTCCCTCCACCTTCCCTCTCCCTCTTTCTCTTCTCCCCCCGCTCCTCTCACCTCCTTCCCCCCATCATGTGAGGATACATTGAGAAAGGGGACCTCTGCAAGCCAGGAAGATGGCACTCACCAAGAACTGAATTTGCAGGCACCTTGATCTTGGACTTCCCAGCCTCCAGGACTATGAGAAATAAATATCTGTTGTTTAGTCCACTTGGTATTTTGTTATTATAGCTCAAGCTGTGACAGTTTTCAGAGTCTCCTCTGGGAATTAATTTGTTTCTCTGGCAATTAGGAGGTATAAGGGAGTGATGCCTGATGTCTTAAAATTTTAAGAGAAAAGACATGCTGACTCAAACCTGGTAGAAAATTCAAAGGAAAAGTGGGTCATTGGCAATGGTTGGGAGTTGTCAGAGGCAAAGGTTGCATAAGTACTTGTTCATGGGAACCAGATGAAGGCCACACGAGAGTGAGCCCGTGTAAAACCGTATTCAGAATTGGAGGGGGGAAAACCCTCAGAAAAAAAGAAGTCTTGCTTAAATGTTGTTTTTTAATGGCCCCAGATTGTTTCCATTAGCTCTCAATGCAACTATTTTGAGGAATAAAAGTATGTAACATGTCTACTTTTATTATTCTGTGTCATTGTCATTGTATGACTCTTAGGTCAGCAAAATGAGATTGATATAAGCTGTCCTCAGTTCACAGCACATTTCTCAATTGCTCCAGACCGGGTCCCTCATCTTTGATCTCCTTTATCTCCCTAACTTCACTTGTCTTCCTCTCTACCACCTCTCACGCCCATCCAGTGTAGTGCATTTTCCCTTTCCCTCAAAAATTGTGCTTTTGAAATGTTGATATCTATCAGTTTTGGTGTATTTAGATCTAATTCATCCCTTTGACATTGCATTGTATGTCACAACATGAACAGTTCATTCATCCATTCCCTAGTCTAGTCATGAGAATAGTTGTTTCTAAGTCTTCCTTATTTCAAAAAAAAGCCACAGTGAATATTCCTATGCATGCTTCTTTAAGCTTATGAGAAAGAATTTCTCTGGCAATGTGCCCAGTAATAGAATTTCTGGGTCTTTAGGATGTGAACTTGCTTAGTTTTGTTAAACACCTTCTCATTGTCTCCAGATTTTTTTTAAAAATTTGTTTACACATTAGCAGTTCAGAGTTCTCAGTTCCCCCATATTTTTGCCTCTACTTGGTATTATTAACTTTTTATTTTTGTTGTTTTAGTAGGTATAAGGTTCTAGCTCACCACCTCTTGCTGGGGATATACAAATGTATCTTAATAGTGTTTGCAAATCACCAATTCCCGAGCTACAGAAACTGGGAATAATGGCGCCTACCATGTGCCAGGCACTCTACAATGAACTTGTCTTACCCATCACTCACTTAAAACTTAAAATCCATAAAAAATTACTGATTTTTATCTCTATCTTTTAGGGGAAGAAACAGAGACTCAAATTGTTAGATAAAAATATGACAACACAAAATAGTGAAACAGGATTCAAACTCATTTTGATTCCAAACCTCTTACTTTATTTACAAAAGCATGTTTTCCTCCTAACAGCCTCTAACCATAAATATACACAAAATAGGAAAGAGGATGCAATGTATGTGACTTTTTGTTTTGTTCCTTTTTTAAAGTTGAAAGGTCATTTACCACAACAGAAACGAAGCATTCCTTATGAGGTTACTTCAGAGCTAAACTCATGCTATTTTAGAAATGAAAAACGAACACTCTGGGTTAAATCCGTTCTCTAAAACCGAAGGTACAGACAAAACAATAAAAGGGAAAGATAAATCATCACGAAATACTCACAACAATCTGAGGAAATAATGGTCCGTTTTCCTGGCGGCATTAGCCATCCATCCTTCAGTTGTCATTCATAAAAGGACTGGTGGATTTGGATGTAATGCAGCTACGAGGTACCACATCTTGAGAGGAGCCCTAATTTCTGGCCCGGGTACTTATTTCACCCTCCTGGAGTTCCAGTGACCTCACCCAGTACCTGCGCCAAGAAGCCCAGTGAATGTAGGGCTCTTAGAGAGATAGTGGGAAAGAAGTTTCCCAGATATGCTTTCTTCTTATACTATAAACACCAGATCGGGAATGCGTGTGTGCATTCCCATGTTCATGATCGGGACAGGCAGGAATGTTACCCTGTTGGCGCATGAGAAGCTGGTTCACTCTCTCCTCACTACCCCAGGAAAGCACATGATTAACTCTTTTAAGACCTTAGAAGGCAAACTACCGTCGATCTCTTTAATTCACACCAGTGAATTTTCTGGGTGTTTTGCATTCTCTTTAGTATCGAGGGAAACAGCTATCTCTTCTCCTGGGTGGAGGCAAGATAGCATATGGGTGATAGAAGTGGAACCTGGCGTCACAGTGCAGAGGGCCCCTTGCTCACTGCTACTTAACTTCTCCTCATTGGTGAACTGAAGACAATAAGAACACCGACTTCATAGGTTTGCTGGGAAGATTTAATGAGATAATAAATGTAATAATTTGCTAGCAGTACGAAAACAAAGGACCACAGACTGGGGGCTTAAACAATAGAAATTGATTGTCTCACAGTTCTAGGCCCTAAAAGTCCAGAATCAGGGTTGGTTCCTTCTGAAGGCTGTGAGGGAAGGGTCTGTTCCAGGCCCTTCTCTGTGGCTTTAGAGATGGCTGTCTTCACATTATCCTCTTTCTATAGATGTCTCTGCCTGTCCACGTGGCATTCTTTTTAGAAGGACGCCAGTCATATTGGGTTAGGGGACCCTCCTATTCCCGTATGACCTCATCTTAACTAATTACATCTGCAATGACCCTATCTCTAAGTAAGGTCACAGCTTGAGGTACTGAGGTTTAGAACTTCAACATATGGATTTTGAGGAGATAAAATTCAACTCATAGCAATGTATAGAAAGTGCCTGATTCATAATTAAACCCCATGAAACATTAGGTACTTAAATTTTTAGTATCTCTCTCTGGCCAATAGGTTCTGTAAAGTGTGGGTTATAAAAGCTATCAGCATTCCTCATTACTCTTCTTTGAGGTCCACAAGACATCAGTCAGCAATTCAGAAAGTAAGAACTAGAACAGTTTGAATCTAATCATAATATTTTATCAATTTCTCTGAAGTCACACAATTGAGAGAAAAATGCAGTAGACCATATATATATCTGTGTGCCATGGATGTGTGTGTATCTATCATCTATCTATCTATCATCTAATCTATCTATCATCTATCATAGTGTATATGTGCACCCATGTTATATGGACAATGTGTTAAGTTCAGCATCAGACTGACCTGTCCTCAAATCCTGGCTGCCTGATTATTAACTTTTCTCAGTGTCAGATTCATAATATGTAAACTGCTCAACAATCCCTAACTCACCATGTTGCTATAAGTAGTAAATGAAATAAAATATCTAAAACCATCAGCAAAGTTCTGGTGAAGATGAAGCCACTCATTAAATGGAACCTACACTGAAATAATTATTAATATCATTTCAGTGGGAGCACCTGTGTGGCTCAGTCAGTGGGGCTGACTTTTGATTTCAGCTCAGGTCATGATCTCAGGGTTGTGAGATCGCACCCCCGCTGGGCGTGAAGCCTGCTTAAGATTCTCTCTTTCCCTCTTGCTCTCCCCAATAAATGAATAAATAGATACATGATAGATAGATAGATAAAATATTATTTCATTAGAGTCACATCATTTGCACAGTTAACCTGAGGTTGAACTGCCTGCTTGGTGAAAAAAGGAAAAAGTGAGCAAAAGGGTGTAAATAGTGATGAGGATTGTTCTGCATATTAATATTCTTTATTCTATAGTTCTATATTCATTGTATATACATATTACACCATACTGTTGTATACACAAAACCTCAAATACTGTGCTTCAGAGATGATGTAACACTGTCAAGAATAATTCTCCCTCGGGCGCCTGGGTGGCTCAGTTGGTTAAGCGACTGCCTTCGGCTCAGGTCATGATCCTGGAGTCCCGGGATCGAGTCCCGCATCGGGCTCCCTGCTCGGCATGGAGTCTGCTTCTCCCTCTGACCCTCCCCCCTCTCATGGTCTCTCTCTCTCTCTATCTCATTCTCTCTCAAATAAATAAATAAAATCTTTAAAAAAAAAAAAGAATAATTCTCCCTCATTGCCACATGTGCTGACTTCTGAAACTAACCAGCCGCTGACGAGCCACCCCTTCATGTTATTATCGTCATGCTATCAGACTCTGTGCCATTGTTTGCCAAGTCTCTGAGCTTTCTCCCCATTTGACAATAAACACTTCAAGACATAAGGAACAATCCTGGACTTGGTTTACATTTTGCTCACTCCTGCCTTTCACTGGAGTCTTAAACACCATCAAACTTGGTGAAAACCCCTGGGTTAACACAATCCCCAACTCTGGTTGAGGTAAGGCCCTCTCCTTTCCGGCTTCAAGTCCTATTTCTCTTGCCTGCCTTAATTCATGCTGAGGGGAGTGTCCTCATCACTCTTGCTGGGGCCCAGACTGTCCCCCCAGAGAACAGATAGGTTGAATTCTTTAATCTGTCAGATTTATGGCATCTTCCACATACTTGAATTTGATAAATTTCTGTGTTCATTTCAGAAATAGCTCCAGTTCTAGCTTTGCAGACACAGGATTCTAAACCATAATTTAAGATTTAATAAACATTTACGTTTATCGAAGCCCCTTGAGTTTCTCCCAACTGCAACAGCATCCCTGGCCTAATCTGTTAAATAATTATTCTTTAATTTTTATTTATTTTATCAATGCACAAGACTGCCAGTTTGTAAACATTTCAAATAAATTTCTTGCATTTAATCCCACTTTTAAGATTTTCCACATTGATCTCTAAAGTTCTCAGTATAATATTTTTCACCTAGTGAGTTCCAGAATGCACTGCGATGATTAATTGATATTGAGGAGGTACACACCAACAAGATTGGGTTCATTTTATTACTGATTAATGTACTTGGTTACTCTGTAAAGCCTAGGCCTGCTGCGACCCTGGTATTTTTAAAACTTCTTTAAAACATCACAAGCACTCTGAAACAAATAATACATTATATGTTAAAAAAAAAAAAAGAAGAAGAAGAAGATAGCAGGAGGGGAAAATGAAGGGGGGGAAATCGGAGCGGGAGATGAACCATGAGAGAAGATGGACTCTGAAAAACAAACTGAGGGTTCTAGAGGGGAGAGGGGTGGGGGGATGGGTTAGCCTGGTGATGGGTATTAAAGAGGGCACGTTCTGCATGGAGCACTGGGTGTTACACGCAAACAATGAATCATGGAACACTACATCAAAAACTAATGATGTATGGGGATTAACATAACATAATAATAAAAAAAATTCTTAAAAAAAGAATCACAAGCGTAGTCAATATCTCAAAAATATCAACAACTATGATTCCAGGAATATATTACTGAAGCATTTAAGAGATGAGTGGCCAATGATTAAAAATCTTTAACAAAAGACCTTCCATGACAGGTTTTATTTAGCCAAGTCCAGGATACAAGGGAGAAAAAAAATCCTTTGTTTGCCAAAAGCATTTAATAAAGTCAATTGCTTTACAAGCTAATGATAAAAACTGTAAGTCCAAAGCAGATCTTCTTCGACTATTACTTGCAGGATAAATAAGCTGTAAGAGTAGAAGAAATAACATGGTTAGCCACACAATTCACTTTTTTTTTTTCTTCTAGTAACATACATTATCTGAAAATTGAACCAAGATCAAAGAAGGCATTTCAAGGAAAATGAAGAGGGAGGGTGAAAAAAAAGAAAGATGCAAAAAGAGAACAAGGAGGCACTTTTGTTTTTCTTCTAAAGTAGGAGGGGGTAAAGAAAGCAGAAAGGCTGGAAAGATGGAAATAGGTAACAGGCAGACCAAGGTCATCGGGACAGGGCCCCTCACCGAGCAGGTCAAATAGGTCAGGCCGAAAGCAACATTCTCGCTGCAGTCTGACTTCAATCCAGGAAGCTTGCGAACCTGAAATTTTTCTCATCCTTAGTTTTTACTTCACTTGATATTCCATCAACCCTTCTACTTCACTGTTTTTTCCAGTATCTCTGACAAGTATCAGGTTTTTTTCCTAAAACTATGAATATCTTTTAAATGATATATTTGATTACTGTGAATTTATTTTTTAGTAAATGCGTTTGTCCATATTCTTTCTAGAAAAAGAAAAAAATGACTAGTTTATTGATACTATTTAATCTTCTGGTAAATATCTTTGCCCAGATACCTGGTGCCTTGATATCCATACAGATGCTTTGTTTTATACTTTGTGGGATGCATGGGAACAATATGATCCCTAATCGCATTTCCAGGAGAATTCTGAAATCTTAACTCAGAATCTTTCATTCCATGGAGGCCTATCTTGTGTTTTAGCAAAGACACTTTGCCCCTGCAGTTTCTCCCTTGCAAATTCACGTGACTAATACCACAATGCCAAATTACTGCTATAGTCATCCTGCACCCTACTAACCAGACATGAAGCTAGTTTAAATCTTTGTTTGAAATACGGGTTAAGTTGTGTTTTAAAATGTTCTGTCATGAGTCAATAAATTCACTATTCCTTCAAAACTCCTCTGTGATTCATGTATTGAGCAATAACAGTGTGAGGTACTGTGGAATTATTGGTAGATGCATCACAACTGCAAAGACAAATGCCATTGTCTTTCAGTCACAAAGAAACCTACTCCAAAAGCTGACTGAGATTTCCCACTGGGTAGGGAAAATTTTTCTTCATCTTCAGTAGTCATTGGACAAGTGACCCACTTCTGAAACTCTCAGTCCCATCGGTTTACCCATCAGTGTGATGACAACACTATGTCCATTCCCACTTTCTCTTTCTGCTTCAGCCTCACGGAGAAGAGTCAATGAAAGTCAGAAAGAGCAATAACCATTTCTTTTTTTTTTTTAAGGATTTATTTATTTATTTGACAGAG